CTAACATAAATGAACTTAAAGAATTTTGTCGGACATCACGTGATGGTAAAAATTTTGTTGGCGATACTGGGGAAGATATACGTAGTTTAGATAAACGATTACGTATAGTCTACTTATACCTGTATACTGTATAAAATCAGGTTTTCTACTTTATCACGTGCTTTTAAATTCACTTATTGTATTTCGCGTTAACCAATCGCATTACAGCAAAACAATAAAAACAAACGTCAGTTACGCGAAAAGAGACTAAAATGAAACGCAAGAACGAAGATAATGCCTCACAAGTTGGTCGTAATGTACGCAAAATTCAACCTAATAGTAAAAGTGAAAAGAATGTTACAACAGTTAGCAATAATAACAAGACCGCGATTAAAGGTCGAAGCGTACTCATACAGACCCCAACTAATAAGAAAGTAGCGGATTCCTTACAAACGCGAAAATTAGAGTTAGAAGAATTAAAGACACTCCGGGAAGAAAACACCACGCTTAATAAGGAAATTGAACAAATGAAAGCCGAGCGAAAGAGATTGTTGGAGGAAAGAAGTAAACTTAGAGAAGAAAAGAGACGAAGCACGTTAGAAAAAGGAACATTGATGGCAGATGTTTGTCAGATGGAACATCGTCTCGCATGTGAGGAAGCACGAGTGGTTGAACTTGAAGAAATTCGGGCCAATTGTCAAAATCAATTAAGCATTTTAAATGGAGAAAACATCCAACTTGATCGAGATCGAGATCTTTACAGAAATGAATTGAATATTGCCAATGAAAAGATCTTGACACAAACAAAAAAGTTAACCGAACAACAATCACTGATTGATGTTCTTACAACGAAATTGCAAGAACAAGAAAATATTTGTCAAGGTCTTAGAAATTCGATCGAAAAGTTGAAAGCCAAACAATAGATTATGAAGTAATGGTAAGTTAATCCTGGTTCTCAATACTTTGTAAAACATAAAAAAATATATTAATAAAAAGCTACTTAATTCATATCAAACTTTTAGAATATATATATATATATATTGATCTTCTGAATAACTTAATAGTATGCTAATATTGATTATTTAATAAAATTTTGGCTTTTATTGTATAAGGCAAAAGAGGGCAATATCGAAGTTAACATGAAGTCTATCAAATAGAGTTCAATGATTTTTATACCATTCAAATATTCATATAACAGATAAGTAATCTTTTTATTCACATAGAGCGGGTAGATATGTACTTCAATTTTATGCGATCCTCCTAAACCATAAAATTATTTGACACTAATAAATATATATTATGTAAACAAGTTTTAAATAAAATAAATTTTAATACTGCTATAGTATTTTCTTTTACCTTGTAATATGGTCAATAGTACTTGTGTCTTTTATATTATAAGCATTAGTATCCATACGTACTGTATAACGATAATTTAATTTAGATTCACAATTAGGCCATATAAAAAAATTTTTTTGGTTTCAACCCGTTCAACCCGGGTAGTGTTTCCCGGGTACAAAAATTACTCGTTGTACCGGGTTGACGCTTGGGTACAAAGATTACCTGTTGAATCTAGGTTAAAACTTTCGTATGATAGTTTATTTAATTTTACATTATTTATACAGTTTAAAGTACTTTTTAAAAAAAATCAAACTACGAAGAATAAACAAAAAAGAAGTATATACAGTAGAAAGTTTTAATAGGGTTGTAGGACTCCACTATTAAAAATAATCAAAATCCCTTTTTGTTTTAGAGAAGTTAGCATAGTAATAGCCTAATTCTATCTATCTTTAAAAAGTCGCTATTATGTTAACTTCTCTAAAATCAAAAATGATTTTGATTATTTTTAATGATGGAGTCCTACAACCCTAATAAACCTTTTTATATGCTTCTTTTTTGTTTATTCTTCGTAGTTTGATTTTTTTAAAAAGTACTTTAAACTGTATTAATAATGTAAAATTAAATAGACTTAAACAGCCAATTATACGAAAGTCTTCCTATGGGATCTCAGTGAATTAAAAAAAGTTTAAGCCATTTAACAGTTAGATTTTAGACAATCCTTGATGCGTGTAGCACATATCCAAAGATTTTCTAAAATCTAATTGTTGAATAGCATAAACTTCTTTCAATCCACTGGGATCTAAAAAGTTTAACCTTGATTCAACAGGTAATCTTTGTACCCAAGTGTCAACCTGGGCACAACGGATAAGTTTAGTACTCAGGAAAACCCGCACTCTATCTGGGTTATTCGACAGGTACCTGGATTGAACGAGTTAAAACACTAGTTTTCATAATCCGGCTAGATCAAAATTTGAAAACTTATAAAAAAAATTTTTTATATGTTTTAATAAATAATTAGGCAGATTTTTAAAAAAAATTTTAAAAAAAGAATTTTATTAACTATAACTTGAGGTGATTATCACCTCAGTGCTATATCTCAAAAACGGGACTAAAAAACAGGAGTTAGGTAGATTAAATAAAACCTCATGTATAACTGACCCCTGTCTTGGTCTAAAATTGTACCCTAACTCTAAAAATAGTGAGATGAGATAATGATCATTTTAGGTTATTATAATAATATTTCTTAAAAAAAATTTATAAAATTTTTATATACCAAATTTAAAAAAAAAATCATTAGCTATGTTTGTTTAAACAGTTCAATATTATAAAAACTAAAAAAAAAAATTTATATAGCCTTATATTTTTGTAAAAAAATATAATAATAAAATTTATTAGAAGATCAATTTATACCTCTTATATTTGATATTTATATCTTTTTGCAAATTAAAATTTTTTTAACTCTTGAGCAAAAATATTTTAGCAACTATTAAATTAAATTTAATAAAAAATTTTTATTTAAATTTTATAGATTTATAAAATTTAAAAAAAAATTTATCAAATTTAACTATAAATAGTTGCTAAGATATTTTTATTTAAAGATTTAAAAAAATATTTATTAAAACAAAGCTATATTAAAATTTTTTTCAAATTTTGAATAAAGATATCTTAGCAACCACCAAGTAAATTTAATAAATATTTTTTTATTTTAAGTTTATAAATCTATATATAAAATTAAAATAAAATAATCAGTATAGTCTAATCTTCCTAAATGCAACATGTATAGACCAGTCAAAAATATGCATTTAGAGAGGTTTGCATTTAGTAAAAGCCAATCAAATTGCAGTTTTTAATATTTGATCTGCAGGTTTGTGTAATATAATTTAATACTGAATTCTGATTGGCTATATACATTTAGAGAGGTTAGTATAATATAAAAAATCTTTTGAGTAAACTTGCATTTATAGAATATAGAATGTGTATTTAGCATTAATGATTTCATATAGCCAAGACAAAAATATATATTTAGAGTGATATTGCATTTACGAGAGTTGCATTTAGAGAAGTTTGACTATACTTATAAATAAACTCTTTCTGACAATCTTCTGGACAACACAACAAAAAACTAAACTACAGAAAATGCTATAAGAAGTTCTAAGATAAATATTATTTTGGTCCTGTTTTTGAGTAAACAGTTGTCAACAAAGCTTGTAGATGTAAAATACTAAGAAGCAGGCGTAACTTGGGTGGTTTTTCTTGGGGTCAAGCTTTTTGTTAATGGTAGACTCCTTAAGATATTTGGTATCCAAACCAGAAGAATATTCTGAAAACTATACTTACCTCTGAACAGGTTGCTATTGATGAAGCTCGAAAGATATAAAATACCGAGGAGCAGGCATAA